ACTTCTTCTTCTTGCACTTTGCATTTTTTAAATGTTGTTTCGACTGTTAAAGACTTCCAATTTTTTCCTCAACAATAGGTAGCCATCTCGTTCAATTTCATCTGTTTATAGCAAGTAGCATAAACATACATGAGAGAACATTAGTTAAAAAACATTCTTCTCAAAGACTTGCACTAACTAAGCCGGCCAACTCTCGTACATGTATGGAGCATGTTGGTGGTATACGGTGCATACATCATCTCACTATCTTCTCACTGACCTAGCTGTGCCAGATTGTGTTCTGTGCCAGTTGTGGGAAGATTGTTACATTGAATCTATTTGGAACGGTCACCTGTACAAACAACCACTTTACACTTCTTCTTCTTGCACTTTGCATTTTTTAAATGTTGTTTCGACTGTTAAAGACTTCCAATTTTTTCCTCAACAATAGGTAGCCATCTCGTTCAATTTCATCTGTTTATAGCAAGTAGCATAAACATACATGAGAGAACATTAGTTAAAAAACATTCTTCTCAAAGACTTGCACTAACTAAGCCGGCCAACTCTCGTACATGTATGGAGCATGTTGGTGGTATACGGTGCATACATCATCTCACTATCTTCTCACTGACCTAGCTGTGCCAGATTGTGTTCTGTGCCAGTTGTGGGAAGATTGTTACATTGAATCTATTTGGAACGGTCACCTGTACAAACAACCACTTTACACTTCTTCTTCTTGCACTTTGCATTTTTTAAATGTTGTTTCGACTGTTAAAGACTTCCAATTTTTTCCTCAACAATAGGTAGCCATCTCGTTCAATTTCATCTGTTTATAGCAAGTAGCATAAACATACATGAGAGAACATTAGTTAAAAAACATTCTTCTCAAAGACTTGCACTAACTAAGCCGGCCAACTCTCGTACATGTATGGAGCATGTTGGTGGTATACGGTGCATACATCATCTCACTATCTTCTCACTGACCTAGCTGTGCCAGATTGTGTTCTGTGACAGTTGAGGGAACATTGTTACATGGTTTTGTAGACATGGGTGGTTAGCGGGCGCTCTGATGTAGGAGCATAGTTTGCTCCTTCTTACTTATCGAAACGTTTATCGTCCTTATCTCCTTCCCCCCCTTTTTTTTTTGTTGGTTACTCTCTTGTAATATTTCTAATCACTTTTATGGCCTAATTGTTTTGCAAATGCCGTGAAATATGTACTAAAATTTTACTTTAAAAAAAAAAAGCAGCTAAGGTTACTGTGGGTTTGATTAAGATAGAAAACTGTTCGAAATTAAAATTATTTTGATTCCTTGCTGTTTCTCTTTCTAAAAAATCCCCAAAGAATTTACGGCACATATGTGACTTTTTTTTGTTTAGCTAGTGTTGTAAATCTACTACAACTTTTGTTATTTGAATTCCCCACTTTGGAGTATATAAAGTTTTTGTTTTGGATTTCATTTTTCCTTTTAAAGTCCGTACTGGACGTAGGTTTATAAAAAAAATTCCCATTGTGTTTTCCAAAGTTATGGTTTTGGATTTGTTTGATCCCAGGCCCTTACTGGATGGAGTGTGACGACCTGAAGTCTGTGATCACACGCTACCAGCCCGTGCTGCCCAACATCCCGCCCAGCCAGGTACACATGGTGATGTGGGAGCGCCGGCTCACGCCGCAGCACACGCTGGTCATGCGTGACACGGAGGATACGCGCGTCCTGGCCTCCCTCGTGCTCACCGTGCAGCAGCCCGCGGGCATGTCCGGCACGCAGCAGGGAGCGGATGCTTCAGGTCATTGGGGGGGTTTGTGTGTATGTGTATGGCTTTTCTTTTTGTGTGTTTGTGAGTGTATGTGTGTGTGTGGCTTTTCTTTTCGTGTGTTTGTGAGTGTGTGTGGTTGGCTTTTCTTTTTGTGTGTTTGTGAGTGTGTGTATGTGTGGCTTTTCTTTTTGTGTGTTTGTGAGAGTGTGTGTGTATGTGTGGCTTTTCTTTTTTGTGTGTTTGTGAGAGTGTGTGTGTGTGTGTGGCTTTTTGTTTTGTGTGTTTGTGAGAGTGTGTTTGTGTATGCGTGGCTTTTCTTTTTGTGTTTGTGAGAGTGTTTGTATCTGTGTCATTGTGTTTGTGAGAGTGTGTGTGTATCTGTGTCATTGTGTTTGTGAGAGTGTGTGTGTATCTGTGTCATTATGTTTGCGAAAGTGTGTGTATCTGTGTCATTGTGTTTGTGAGAGTGTGTCGTGCTGTCATCTTTGTGTTATTTATAAGCAGGTGTCATGGAAACAACTTGGTGATGGTTTCAATTCTGAGGGTTTTTTGTTTGACTTACTAGAAGGTGTGACTTAACTCACTTGCGACTGGGCCCTTTCACCAGCCACAAGCGTTGAAGACTGGCGTTTTGGGGGGTATTTCAATAAATCACCACAACTCTCAGAATTACCCTATTGTAATCATTTTTTGACACAGTAAAGTAACATTCAAGCTTAATCTAATACAAAAAACTAAAGTTGTCTAAGTGTAATACTTTAATTTGTATGGTTTTTTAAAGATTGGCATGAATTTGATTTTCGAAAAATTTCCAGAGACGTGACAAGTAGAATGAAATTCACTGCAACAACAAAAATAAAAGTTCAAAGTGTTCTGGTTTGATTTGTATACATGTGCAAGTGTTTGGTGAAAATATAAAAGCTGGTCTGTGCATTGATTCAGACCCATACACTGAATTACATGAGACAGATGTACGGCACGACGTTGTGATTTCGTTGCGCGAAAAACAACACCGGTACTAGTGCTAGATCTAGCCCTAGAACTACGACTCGGGCCGTGTTCGGGTACATATCCAGGATCCTAACTATTAGACACATCATATTCTGAGACACTAGAACTAGTAAAACGCACAGAAGTATAGAAAACGGCGAAATTATGTGATTCTTGTTCATGCGACTTCTTCGACCGTTACTACGACGCGACTGTCGGATTACTATGAGCTGTATAGAAAAAAACAAAGCGCGAGTTCCGGTCTGTTCAACCCCAGTTGGGGTCACTGTCCTTCACCTTCAATAACTTAAAAACTACCAGCCCCAGAGATACGAAACAAAGTCTAAGTAGCTCAGGCTTGGCCAAACAAGGGTACGAGGCGGGTCTCGCGATCCGTGCGTGATTTGTAGAGCGAAAAAAAATTTCCAAAGTTGGTCACGTCATGGCGGGGGTCACGCAACTGTTGTGTGACCCGTCTGAAGTGAGTTAAAGATCACTTGGGGAGCTATCAGAATACTGTTATACAAATTAAGATCTTCCTTTCCTTTGTCAAAGGACTTGCACTAACTAAGCCGGCCAACTCTCGTACATGTATGGAGCATGTTGGTGGTATACGGTGCATACATCATCTCACTGTCTTCTCACTGACCTAGCTGTGCCAGATTGTGTTCCGTGCCAGTTGTGAGAAGACTGTCACATTATCCGTTGGGGAAAGAAAAAATTAATTTGTGAGGTGTAATTATGGTCTGAATCTGAGAAGAGGCAAGATTTTGAACGTCCAGGGAGCAAAAAGGTTGCCTTTAAACAGAGAGACTGCCAGGTGGCTAGAATCCTCCTGAGAACTTGGATAAATTTGCTCTGACCCGGGAATACCTGTGAATTAGAGAATATCTGTAAATTGCTCAGGGACAATTTATAAAGTTGTTTAATATTTTAAAGTTTAGTAGTGAAATCCAGTGAAGTGTTGTCATGTGAGTTTGTTCCATTTGGCAGGTGTGCCCAAAACCACAGCGACAGGTCTTCCTTCTTCAAGCCCGGCGGGCGCCACGTCTGCCAGCACACTCCTGTCGGGCCTGATGAACCAGACGCAGACGTTCTCCCCGTACACGCGAGGTCGTGGCAGAGGCGGGCGGGGCACCCGGGGGGCCAGGGGCACGGGCCGGGGCAGGGGAAGCAACACCATCATCAGGCAGCGGGCGCCGGTCAGCAGCAGCATCCAGCTGACGGGGGCGGCTGCCACGTC